GGGGGGGTCCTTCAAGCATATTTAGGTCGTTTTCTGATGTTGTCAGATCGACTGATCTAGTGGTGTCGTAGTGGAAACCTTTTCTCTATTGTGGGTGAAATTAGGTGAGATGTAATGATGGCAACCCTTCTATGAATTATGTTATAATCCGTAAACACTATAATTCCTACTGAAAAAGAACATACAGGTTTGACACTCCGGAGGCCAATATATATATATAGATATATATGTAGCTATAACTTTTTTTTTTTTTTTTTTTGTAAAGATTTCCTGGACCAACTTTGTGAGAGCTTAATGAGATGGAGAATTTTATCAAATAACACTCTTGACAATAAAACATGTTTAAATTCTGTGTGCACTTGGTTCTTGTCTTTTTTTATATTTTAAGTTTAAAGTTTGTGACCATTTTAACAGTGAGTTCGTCTTCTAAGACAGTATAGTTCGTACAGGTTCACGATTCCTTATCTTAATTCAGAAAATATGAAACCCAAAAGTTTTCACTAAGTTTGGCAGCTTGACCTGACCAGAGCTAATAGATGGCTGTTGATGGGCTTATATCCCATTAAGTGCCCTGGTGGCACAGTGAGTAAAGTGCTCAGCTGCTAACTGCTTTTGTCGGTTCGAACCCCACCTGTGCCCTCCTCAGAAGAAACATGTAGCAACCTGCTTCCACAAAGATTACAGCCTTAGAAATCCTATGGGGACTGTTCTACTCTATTTAGGGTCACTGTGAATCCGAATCCATTCATTGACAGTGGGTTTGGTTTCTGGTTTATCCTATTGTGAATATTCATAAATTTTACTGGAGAAATATGAATGTGCCACCTCACAGCCCACTTGGATGTACTTGAACACTCTTTCTAAAATTCTGGTAAACTCAGAATTCTAAAGCACGTTTGGCTCCCAAAGTTTCAGGTAAGGGTTTGTGAAGTTGTTATAAATAATTGGGCTATATATATATATATATAAATAAACTAGTTATGTAAAGGTAGTGAACATTTCTATGTATATTAACTTGTAGAACTATTCCTTCTTGAAAGTTGCATCCATGGTTATTTTACAGAATTTCTTGTTTTACCCCAAACCACTTTTCTTTCTGATGTCTTATATTTAGTACTTTAATAACATGCTGTTACCTTATTTTGAATTAATTTAGCTGCTTCTCTGTTCTTTCTCACTTCTCTTTTCTCAACCGGTAACTGAAGGCCTCACCCTGCCCTCTGCAATACCTCTAGTATCTTTTTCTTTACACTTTGAGTTAATTTGCCCAATATAATTTACTTGAATAAATGTTCAGATATTTGCTTAGCCTGTCATGCTTTCATTTCTTGACCATTTTGCTTTTCTACCAGCATCTAAAACGTGTACTCAAGATGTGCGTTCTTCTAATGTTAATGTCACCAGTAAAGTGTACAATGTGTAGAAAAAGATTCAAGAAACTTGGATTCTTTTAAGTTTTTGCTGAGCATTCCAACCTCATCATAAATAAATGTTTAGGAAAATCTGTATAGTTTGCAGCTTAACCTATTTCAGTAACATGAATACGTATTCTGAAAACCTGCCACAAAACAATTTTTTTCTCTCTGCATATAACATTCCTTTTATGCAGTTGAGAAATAATTTTACATAATGAAGAAATCTGAATAAAATTTGGTAATGTGGTCTTTTCTCACTTGTGTCCATTTACTGTGCTACTCATGTTTATAGAGTCTGTTCCAGGTGTTCATCAGTTTTCATAATCTCTATTATTCATTTAGCAAACATCTCATGAGGACTATGTTGTACCAAGCACTAGAGGTAATCAAATAGAATTAGCTCCTTATCCCTAAGATTTTCCATTCTACCATGTACCAATGAGTCTCAGTCTTTAGAAGTGGTATTCTACCAGTTCCTTAATGCACAGTCCAGTGTTATCATTTAACTTCAATTATGTTTGTAAAAATGGTGAATTATATTTTCAGGGTTTTTTTTATAATCAAGTTAGTTATAATACCTTATAACTTTATACCAGGCATATAGTCTATAAATCTGACTAGCATTTGCCATTTAATCTAAATTATTGAGGTTTTAATGTTTGCATACGTGATACCATATTCTTTTATTTTCAGGAATCAGTCGATCAGAGATTTCTTCAAACCAGCTACAAAACAAGGTATGTATATTTTTTTTATTGTGTTTTTTTGGGGAAAGGTATTTTTAAACCTATTCTTAACTCTTAGATTAATTTAACTTAAACATAGTGTTCAGATACGATCTTTTTAATGAAGTTAAATACGAGTTCTAAATGAAGAACTTAATTTTTGCTGTTGTGCTTTCTTAAATTTAAAATTTAAATATTATTCTACTTGATAATGTTCATAATGCAAACTATTTTGATTCTCTAGTACAATAGTTTATATTATAAATAGAGCCATAGGGAGGTTATATGATGTCACAAAAGGGAGTTTTATATAAATAAGGCTATTAAAAATAAACTGTCTTAATTTCATTTAATTTCCCCCATTAAAATTTATATCATCCAGATATAATCTAACATTTTTGTGGTAGCTGTTGTATAATTTCACATTTTGGTATTCCTAATAACATAATTTATTTTCTGTTTTGTTTTTTAATAGACTATTTAGACAGACATATGTTGGATTCGCCACAGAAATCAAACATCAAATATGGAGGAAGTGGATTGTCCTTTACTGGGTCAGAGAAGTTTGAAAGGAAGTTACCCTCAACAAAAAAATCCAAACCCAAAAGGATGCCATCAGAGAAGAGCCCTATTTTACAGGCTTTCATGAAAGATGTTAAAGAGCACCATAAAGATAATGGTGTACATGAATCACGGCGGCCTTGTGTGTCACTAACTACCAAATTTTCAAAGGGGGTTACAAAGGTCTATGTTCCTTCTTCATATTGCTTGTCAAAAGAGATGAAGGCACAAAAGAAAAAACATCGCTCTCCAGAGAGAAGGAAGTCCATGTTCATTCATGAAAATAGCAGGAAGCAGAGTGATAGAAATCGAGATAAAACTAATGCAGATGCCAAAAAGCAAGCCAGAGTGGCAGAAGCAGACATCTTCAAGAACAGCTCCAGAAGTCTTAGCAGGAGCAACCTGTCTAGACACCACTCAGGAGAAAGCCCACTTGGAGCTAAGTTTCAGTCATCATTAGCGTCTTACCGCAGAGAAAGAGAGCTAAAGAAGATGAGAAAGGAGCAAATTAAGCAGAGAATCAACTCAGAAAATTCCTTCTCAGAAACAAGCAATCTTTCCTTAAAGTCTTCTGGTATAGGAAGAAAATTTAAATCAAGGCAGGAACAAAGCAAGCAGAACAGTGTCATACCGGGAAAAAGTAATCTTTCAAACCTGGTATGTACAATATGTATTGAATTAACTTTGGAAACTCTGTACAGGGTCGCTATGGGTCGAAACTGACTCGACGGCACTTAACAACAACAACTGCTATATCATATTTAAAGGAGCTCTGGTAGCGTAGTGGTTACGAATTAGGCTGCGAACCGCAAGGTCAGCAGTTCAAAACTACCAGCTATTCTGTGGGAAAAAGATTGAGGCTTTCTGCTCCTGTAAAGATTTACAGCCTTGGAAACTGTTACTGGGTCGCTAGCTATGAGTCGGAACTGACTCCATGGTACACAACCAACCAACCAACCATATCATACTTAGGAGCCCTGGTGGCACAGTGGTTAAGCACTCACCCATCAGCACTCTTGAGGTAGAAAGATGGAGTCTGTTTCAGTCAATATTGTAGCCTTGGAAACCCTATGGGATAGTTTTACTATGTCCTGAGTCAGACTTGACCAAACAGCAGTACATTTGGTTTGGAGTTTTATATCCTAGTTACAATACGGAGTCTAAAAATATTAATGTTATACCACATTGGTATCTTTCTTTAAGGAAATGCACAGTTTATATAGAAGCTGGTTTCATTAGATTTCCTCCAATTGTCCTTCATTAAATTGATCTAAGCTGCCTGCTTAATTTTCCAGATGGGAGGAGCAAAGCTTTTCCTTGATCAGAGAGAGAAGCATTCTTTTTTTAAAAAACAAAACAGGTAGAGGAATTTTAAAATTAGGTTCTGCTGACCGGGGGACTTTTGAATTGAAAATCCCAAACAAGCAGGAAATAGTATAATGCATTCGTTCTCAAAATGTGATCTCTAGACCAGCAGCATTAGTTGGAAACTTGTTAGAAATGCACATTCTCAAGCCCCATTCTGTCTACTAAACCACAAATTTGATGTGGGGGTTAACATGGTGAGAGACCAACAAACTGATTAACAGGCCCTCCAGTTGATTCTGATGTACTTTAAAGTTAGCTTAGAGTATATGTAAATCTTGAGTATATATCTTAGAAGACTTAAAGGCTGACTTGGAAAATGCTCCAGATGTTAACTTTTATCAGATTTCTTGTTTCAAAATAGATAAAAATTTATGTCTGATTAGTATAAAAATTCCCTCTCCTCAAGAAAATCAAGTTTGTATCCATTTCAAAGAGCTGCTGCTCTGTGTACAGGACAAATAAAGTTCTTCAGTATCAAGAAAGTGCTATGTTAATAAGGAACTGTGAAATTTAAAACTAGATAGGCCAAAAATAACTCAACTGAAATTCTGCAAGTAAATGGAGATTGTGACATTATATATTGCTGGAATACACCTATAAATCCTTGGACTCATTTGTAAGGAATTTGGTACTTTTGCCCGTGAAATTTGCTACTGAATAATAGAGCTTAGTAACATATTGGTCCATTTTTATAAGATTTCAGTGGTGGTACATCAGTACTTAAAAGTGAGTTGTGTCCATTTGATTGGCAAATATTAGACTTGGTATTTCTGAATTGGTGCTTTATCACCATAATGCTGTGTTCTAATATATTACACTTGGGTTATTAATATAAAATTCTAAACTGATACTGTGAAAGCTTTGTTTTTACTTTTTTTTAATGTTTTACTGTGAATTATGTGATGGTTTTCATGGGAGAACATTAACTTTACTGTTTTTACATTTTTATGAGAAAAATTATCTTCATTTTTTCACAATAAAACTTAAATATTAGTGTAGTGGTTATGAGTTGGGCTGCTAACCTCAAAATCAGCAGTTCTTAACTGCCAGTCATTCTGTAGGAGAAAGATGAGGCTTTCTGCTCCTGTAAAGATTTGTAGCCTCCGAAACCCTATCCAGGGTCGCTACGAGTCAGAACTGACCCCACGACACATAACCAACCGACCAACAATTTTTTTGTTGTTAAAGTGCCCTCTAGTTGGTTCTGACCTGTAGCGACCCTGTATAGGGTTTCTGAGAAATGGATGGTGAACTTGAACCACCGACCGACCTTTTGGTTCAAACCAATTTTGTAGTCCATTGTGCATTAACCCACATTATAGAAGTTGAAATTTACTCTCAAATGTAGGTGCTTTATTTAATTTAGAAATCTTTATTAAAATGTTATGAAGGTAAGTCCACATTCTTTATTGCCCCAACTCCTAATATAAATTTTGTCATTATACTCAAAGGAAAATGGACATCTCTCAAGAAAAAGATCCTCTTCTGAATCGTGGGAACCTGCTTCAGGTAGAGTCAAAATATTAAAATTAAGGATTTTAAAATAAATTTATCTCTTTATGGTACTTTTATAAAGGAGATTTGTTTAAACATAAAATCTCCTTTCATGGAGATGGAATTGAGTGCCTCAGATTAGATGAGTAGTGGTGATTCTATATTTTAAAAAAAAAGAACAGTCTTTGAATTTTTGAATTTTGCAGGTACAACCTGTAGTTTATCTTGACCCTTCTCTACCTTCAGAAATAGAATTCTAACAATGACTTTCTTAGCTTGGTATTCAGTGTTCTACATCTGAATCTTTGGTAACATTATTCTTGGAATTGCAGAATAGTATCTGAGGTCTGGATGCTATGTTGAAGTTGTGTTGCCTAAGGTTGAAATGTTACAATGATCTAAAACAGTATTTCCTAATATTCTCAAAAGATTTCTTTATAATATCACATTTCAGGGACTACTACGCGATACTAGTTTGTACTTTTGGTATCTATTGGTTGAGAAAATATGCAACAAACAATTATTATTAACTCAGTCACCTTTAAAGTATCTTTATTTTATAGTATCTTTTGTGTTAGAAAATAAGACATTATAAAAATCAAACACAGCAAAAATTGATAGGACAGAAAACGAAATGCCTGGAGAAATAGCAGTTGTTAGTAGTTTGACATATCAGCGTTTTTTGTTTTGGTTGGGGGTGGTTTCCCCTGCTCTGACTAACTTCTTAAAAAACAGACTTTACAGATTTCCCCATTGACATACTGGGCACAATAATAATAGCTAGCATTTATTGAGCACTTATTATATGCCATGCCTGTTCTGTGTTTTAATTCATTTGATTCTTACACACTTAGAAAGTAGTTATAGTTGCAGATGAAAAACTAGAGTATAACGAGACAAAGTTCTAACTCATTCTTCAGGTTGTACATAATGTTCCATATATTCTAGAGAGGTAAAATTTTGAATTTCTCCCTTATAAAAGAACTTCCTAGAATATAGAATATAAGAAATCTGAAGTGTTTGTTGTTTTTTCTTAATTCTTAAAATGTACTGGTTTTAGTGGTTAAATTTTAGTGAAATTAGTATGAGATCAGTAATTTTATTGCATGCGATTGCTATTGCACTCACTGTACTGCACATGTGTGATACTAAATCAATGACCCCTTTGCATTGAGTTGGGTGAAAGAGCAAAGTATTCTTAGACATCTCTGAACGCTTAAGGGACTATTGCTGCTGGTGCTGCCAGCAAGTTACTTAGCTTTCGTTTTTTTCTGATAATGAGTACAACTAGAAAAAAGTTAATAACTTCAGTTTCTGGGTTACAGATTTTGTCATTGGTGACTAAAATAGTTTCATTTATACGATCCCACAAGTGTTTTTTGAGCACTGCTTCAAATCCTGCATATTTTCAGAGACAGACTTAAGATGATTTGGCTTATTAATGGTACCACTATTAGACTTCTCAGTTGTAATGATGATATACATGCTCACATGACTGGCAATCACACATACATCCACGGATTTCAGAAATGCTGGTAGTGTGGGCATTTGACTCTGATCTTCCAGAGACTATCCTTTTGCTGAATTTTAAAATTAGATTTAATCTATTGCTGGTATATTCCATGATTTATAAAAAATCTGCCCCAAACCAATTTGTAATAACAAACCTGTGGACATATTTATTTTTCCTCCTACAAACTCATTCCCTCTGCTGAGTATTATTTATGTATGTCATTGACCCTGACTCAAGACAACCCCATATACAACAGAATAAAACACTGCCCAGTCCTGCCCTATCCCCATGATGGGTTGGGGACTGGACTACTGTGATCCATAGGATTTTTATTCTCTGATTTTTGGAAGCAGATAGCTATGCCTTTCTTCCTAATAGGTCTTGGCATCATAGCAATATTCAAGCCTCCACCGACAGGCAGGTCTCCCATATGGAAAGCAAGCATTAGACCACTGAACTATATCAATAGGTAATCTGGAAAACCATATCGATTCCAACGCCTAGCAACCCTCTAGAACACATTAGTACTGCCCCGTAGGCTTTCCAAGGCTATGAATCTGTATGGAAACAAACTGCTACATCTTTCTCCCACAGAGTGACTGGTAGGTTAGCAGCTGAGCGCTTGAATCATTGCCTTGCCAGGACTCCCTTCTACAGGCTATTAAAGAGAAGCATAAAAGGAATCATGAAATTTCTTGAAGTTTATTCACTGACCTAAAGAGCTTTAAAAAGAGGAATCTGTCTGCAGTACCAACTCAATTTTTTAATTCCAGATACTAAAAGCTGTTAATCTGAATTGTCCTAAGCATTGCCCTCAGTTATCCTGGACAAGTTTCCAGTTCCTAAGGAAAGCAGAATTTCTCCTCATTTCTATTGTTAAGTGCTGTTGAGTCAGTTCTGACTCATAGCAGCCCTGGACAGGATTTCAAGGCTGTACATCCTTGAGGGACCAGAAAGCCTCATCATTCTTCTGTGAAGTAGCTGGTGGGCTCAGACCACTGACCTTGTGGTTCTCATTCCAGTGTTTATTGTACAGAGCCACTGTTTGTAAATTAACTAGCTTCCAAAGAAAGGTGTCTTGGGATAAAGCACTGGACCACAAGGTAGATTTGAACCCCAAGTTCAGCACTACAAACTCACCATTGTTCCTTGGAAATCCAATTTTAGAGTCATTATGAGTCAGAACCGATTTGACAAAGGAAAATAAAACTGGCAGCTCTGTAGCAATCTTCTCTATAACACCAAGTTTTAAATTGAGATGATCAGTGTAAGTCTGCCTAAAGTCTTTTCTTTTTCTTAGTCATTTGATTTCTTTTCCTACACTGTAAGTGACCTTAGTCATTTAACTGTTAAAAACTGAGTGGACAAGGAATGATTGATGTTTTTCAGGTAATATAAGATACCTGTAAAAGAAGGGATATAGGGGCACATTTGTTTGTATATTGATTGGTTATTTCATTACTGTAAATTGAATTTTCCAGATTATGAATTGATCAGGCTACCTAAAAAATAATTAGCTTTTGATTCAAGTTTGTTGTTGAGTCAGATTGTTGGGGAGTTGGAGACATCTATCCATGTTCAGAAAGAAACTTTTGATGTAGTCAAATTTGTTGTGTTTGAGACCACTAATTATATAAGTAGTAAATTTCTGGAATTCCATATTTGTATGATCAGTATTCTGAAAACTAAAATGGATAATGGTAGTCTACTATGGGATAAGCATTAGACCACAAGGTTGGCAGTTCAAACTCACCAGCCACTCCTTGGAAACTCTATACAGGGTCACTATGAGTCGGAACCAACTTGATGGCATTTAACAACAATACTGAGTAATGAGTAGTAAGAGTGAATTAATGAAGCATATCTATTTTAAGTACAGTATTTTTTTAATTGGCTTAAATATATGTATATTGAAATGCTTTAGGATAAGGCTTCTAACACAGCTGAAGACTAGAGAAATAAAAAGTAAAGAATAAATGGTAATTAAACTTCAAGGGGAAAAGCTGAGGTGAATTTTTTTGTAAAATTAAAATTTGTCTGCCTTAATAAGTTGTTGTGCATGTGTTTTAAGGAATAATAAATGTAGTTGTAGAAGTATTAAATTTCTTAACACAGGTAGTTCTTGATCTAAAAAATGAATATGCCCACTTGGAGGGAAAGTGCCTTTGGAATTCCATTTTTGGTGCAGCAATGTAATTTTTTTATATTTCTTTGGCACTCATGCTTATCAATTAATAAATAGTAGTCATTTTTCTTCTTCATTCCATATGTGGTGAATAATCTCAGCTTAAGCTTTTAGAATTTAAGCATTTCTTAGGGTGTTCTAGACACTCATTGAATAACCTTTACTGAAAGATAAGAATGTGTACTTTTCACTAATCTGGAAAAACTTAAATTTTAGCAGGCTCTAAGAATAAATTTCCTGACAAGAGAAAAAGGAATTCTGTGAACTCAGATCTGAAAAGCACAAGGGAATCTATAATACCAAGAGTAAAAGAGCCCCTCCTCGATAAGCATCGTGGCGGACCACATCGGAGAGAGGAGTTTATAAAACACATTGCCCTGAAGACACCTGGAGATGTACTGCGCTTGGAAGATATCTCCTCCAAGGAACTGAATCATGAAGCTGATTGCTCCTCTGCAGGCTTGGCTCCTTCACATTCTAGCCACCATTGTTCCAGAAATAGTGACCAGATCTGTGTGGCAAGTACCAAAGAGACTAAGATGCAGAAACCCCACTTACCTTTACCTCAGGAAAAATCTGCAGTTAAAAAAGCTAGCAACCTTCAGAAAAATAAAACTGCTAGCTCTGTGACATCAGAGGAGACAAATCTTCTCCCCTTATCTTCCCACGTTCCAAGTACTGGTTCCTCTCGGGAACTATTAAATGCAAAAATTTACACTCTTCCAGTCTCTAAAAAAGACAAAGAGCGTTCCTCCTCTAGAGAATGTTCTGGGCATGCTACCGAGTCCTCCAAACACAAGGAACACAAAGCAAAGACTAATAAAGCTGATTCTAATATATCTTCAGGGAAAGTTTCTGGGGAATCTTTGCATTCAGAATATGGCACTCCTACCAAGTCTCCTCCGGCTGCTTTGGAAGTTGTGCCATGTATCCCAAACTCTACTGCTCCTTCAGATAAAGAGAGTGCAGGAAATTCTAATACAGGTAGCAGTGCACTGAAAAGAAAACTAAGGGGTGATTTTGATAGTGATGAAGAAAGCTTAGCTTACAACCTAGACAGTGATGAGGAAGAGGAAACATTAAAATCACTGGAAGAAATAATGGCTTTGAACTTCAGTCAAACTCCTGCAACCACAGGAAAATCTCCTGCTGTTCCCAAGGGGCTTAGGTCTCAGTCATCCGATTATACAGTAAGTAGTTCCATGGCATTATCTCTGCTTGAAGAGGGAAAGATGGGTTGATTAGTGAAAGAAGAATAGATAAATAGAACTTATTGTAAATTCAGTATTTGCTACAACTTATAATTGGACTGAAACTGGTATAATTCTTGCTTGGCTAATGAGATTCCAATATCATTAGTTTCATTACTGTAAATCAGTGGTCTCCAAACTTCTTTGATCACATACACTTCTAGTAAAAACAAATTAATTTGAGCATGTTCTCCAATATATATGTATATTTGTAGATTGTACACATGTACCGCTATTATACTATTGTATATTTCCAAAAACAATTTAAAAGGAAGAGGAAAAAAGTATTTTCCTATAAAGTTATGTAGAAGTTACTATATACTTAAGTTCTACTGGAGTTTCTATAGAAGTTCCATATAAATAGAAGTTCTATTATTTTCTTCCTGCACCCCAATGGATCACCTTGCACACCCTCTGCTTTGGAGACCACTGCTGTAAATGAAGGTAGAGTGTAGAAATGTTGTTAATTGTGGTGTGCAGTTTTATTTATAAAGTACTTCATTCTATCTTGGGAATCAACTGAATTAAATTCTAAGATATCTGTAAAATTTGGTGGGGAAGGTGCTCATGGTCCATGGTAACAGCTAAAAATTGGTGTTATTCCACTAAAATGGAATTTGAAAGTAAATACAGGGTAGTCACTGAGCCCTTGGGTATTTGCAGTCAGTTCCTTGTAACTAAGACTGACAGGATTTTATAAGTAGTTCCTTTCCTAATAGACGGTAAAATTAAATTGCCTGCAGTGCAAAATACTAGATTTAATTAAAGCATGATGGTGAAAATTCTTTTATAAGAGAGGTATCCCAGCTCAGGTTATTAAATTAGAAAATAATCTAAAGTACTTTGAATAACTGAAGACATCCTAATTCTTGTACCGAGATATGTTGTAAAGTATCTATAAATTTTCTTGTTTTAGGAACGTGTTCATAGTGGAACTTACACAAATACTTTAGAGCGTCTAGTGAAGGAGATGGAAGACACTCAAAGGTTAGCTAGCATCGTGTGCCATTTGTTAACTTCAACATATTGCTGGTTTGTCTAAGATTGTTACATAACTATCTCTCTCAAGTTTTCAGTGACCCTATCAGCACACCTCTGTTTTGGCTTCTCTATGATTTACTTTTCATTTACCTTAAAAAGACATGAGAAATAAGCATGTATATTGTGTTTGTACCATTATAGAAGTTCTTCTACCATCAACTGTGTTAGAAATAAGGTATTCTATTTTGTTCATAGACTAGATCACAAGATCAGATTCTTTTGATCTATGTTAACTGTTACTATAAATTCTTTCTATTTGTCACAACTAATATCTAACTATTATTCCCTCTCCCTCCCCCCAGCAAATCAGAAAGTTTGCAGGTTAATAGTGACTACTGAAATTGTGTGGTTAGTTTATAGACTGCTTTTGCTGATGACAAGGGCCTTGAAACTAGGCCAACAACCTCACTAAAAACGCAGTTTTGGGTTGATCACATGGAAGTTGGTAGCTAAGTAGCTTAACTAGGAATTTTGCAGAGAATTATTGTTAAGTGCCGTCAAACCTGTTCTAACTCGTAGCAACCCTATGCAACATAGAATGAAACGCTGTCTGGTCCTACACGATCTCAACAATTGTTATGTTTGAGCCCATTGTTGCAGGCACTGTGTCAGTCCATCTCTGGGATATTCCCCTTTATTTTTACTGAACCTCTAATGTTGATCCTGCAGAGAATTGATAAGTCAAAATTCTCCCCCTCCCTGGTGGGCTGCTAACTGCTTTGTCAGTGGTTCAAATTCACCAGGAATTCCATGGACAAAGATGAGTAGACTACTATAAAGATTTAAAGTCTCAGAAACCCTAAGGAAGTAGTTTACTTTGTCATATATAGAGTTGCTAGGAGTTGGAATCGACTCCATGGCATGGATTTGGTTTGGCTATTACAAAGTTATTTTAACATTTCATAAATTCTTTATAATCAGTGGTGTGAAACCTGAAGTTGTAAACTGAACATTGCACAGACCAAATGTTGATGTAATAATCTGTTTCCTCATCTATAAAATGGAATAGCAATAAATTACTTAATAATAAATTGCTGTGAGGGTTAAAAGCATTAATGGCATAAAGCCTTTAGTACAGTACCTGCCAAGAGTTAGTGTCCAGTAGGTGTTAGGTGTGATGATAATGATGGCAACAGCCACTGCTACTGAGAAGCCTAGATAATGTGCTTTCCTAGACGTTAAATAAGCTTTTAAAATTAGGGGATAATCAAATTAGTCATGTTATTCTTTGCCTTTTTCTTTCCCCTCTCTCTAAATGATTTGGACAGATCATTTTAGAAATTCAAGCTATAAAGAAATAATCAAATCTTTTATGCAGTTTAACACTATTCTAATATCATACTGGTATCTGGGTAACTGTTCAAAAACCAAAATAGATTTTCTGTATTTTAATGAGAAAAGTATTTAATGAGAAAATCTTATTTTTGTTACTATAAGTCAAATTGGAAGTCTGATTTGACTTATAGTAACAAAATTAGTCATATAATGAGGTACTTATTGAGAGTTTTTCTTTTAGACAATTACTTTTTAAGATATACTTTATTTACTACAGCATTCTTTTAATTTGTAGACTAGATGAACTACAGAAGCAGCTACAGGAAGATATAAGGCAAGGCCGAGGCATTAGATCCCCACTCAGAATTGGAGATGAAGACAGTACAGATGATGAGGATGGCCTCTTAGAAGAACACAGGTAGACGTTTTCATAATGTGTATTGTGATAAGTGTGTATATTTTTTAATGTTGCTTTTATAAAATCGAGGTTGATGGTTATTTAGTGAATAATCTTTGATGAATTATTTTCCATCTCTGATGGATTAGGAAAGCAAAATTGTTTTTGTTCACACACGTATTTAGTGAAAAATGAAAGAAGATACTTTTTCTCCATATTGGTTTTCTAATCTGGGATTAACATGGTCTTTTTATTTAAAAAAAATTTTTTTTTTATATTCTTGCATATATATATATATATGGACTGCAAATATATCCATGAATATAGCAGAGCATATGAAGAGCAAAGTTTTGAAAACTTCTTAGCCAAAACCAAACACTTTGAGGAAATGTGTCGCTCGATCTGGGGCCTCAGGACCATAGTCTAATGGGCAACATTTACCCAGGAATAAAGCTCATAAGCTAGGAAGGGCTAGAAAACATGGACAAACAGTAAACACACAGGGAGGAAGTGTGTTACAATATGAGGATTGCAGTCAATCAAAATGTTACGTGAATTACTGAATGGAAAACCAATGTGCTATATTATCTTTTAGCCAACTCACAATAAAGTGAAAAACAAAACCTATGGAGCATACTTCTACTCTGACATACATGAGGTTGCCATGAAACAGGATTAACTCAAAAAAGTTTTTCTTCTCAAATTCTTAAAAAATTGGCCAGGTTAACTGGACCACCTGAGACCAGATGATTTCCTGAGACTATTGCCCTGAGATATTCTTTAAACCTTGAATCAGACTTTTCCGAGATCACCTCGTTAACCAAAAAGCAGAGTAACACTCAAAGAATATAACCCATTAGGTCAGTGCTGTACTAAAGGAGAAAAAAATATCGGTGTAAATTCAAAAAGTTAATCTTTAATCCAAAGCAAAGATGAGAAGATAAGGGGAAAGAGAAACTAGAGTATTGGCGCTGAAACAACCAGAACACATGTAAGGAGAATGTTAACATCATGTGAAAAAATGTAACTGATGTCAGTCATCAATTTGTGTGGAAACTGTCAAAGGGGAAACCTCACTTGCTGTGTGCATTTTCGCCCAAAACAATAAAATAATTGTTTCTCCTTACATACAGCTTTTAATTACAAAACAATATGTAGTGTTAATTATTTGTATTTAATGCCCCACCCACCCTTTTTTTTTTATTTCAGGGAATTCTTAAAGAAATTTTCGGTTACGATGGATGCTATTCCTGATCATCATCCGGGTGAAGAAATATTTCATTTCCTCAATTCTGGAAAAATTTTTAATCAACATACGCTGGATTTAAGAGACTCTGGTTTTATTGGACAAAGTGCTGTTGAAAAGCTTATTCTTAAGTAAGTAGAAAAAAACAGATGTTTTACTTTTTCTGTATAAAAGTTGACATAATTTATATAATTGATATAATTTCTAAAAGGCTAACTTATTTATGGACTTACCCAGTTTCCTACTCCTTTAATGTGTTTTCTTATTATAGGAAGCAGTGTAGGATAGTTTTGTATACCACATTATCCTTTATTAGTTAGGATTATAATGAGTGTATAATAACATTAGCTGTGAAAATAACTGACTTGAACAAAACATATACAAGAAGACTTCAAAAAGTTCATGACAAAATGAAATGAAAGATAATGGAGTTTTTCCATGGACTTTTGGAAACAACCCTCCTGTTTCCTTCTTATCTGAAACCAGTTCAGAGGCAGGAAGTCTAGGGTTAGTGTGTTAGTGTCACCATAACATCAATAACATCTTTCTTCTGTTCCACAGTTGTCAACACATGTGCTACAGGTGCTTTTATTTTCACACTCCCAAAAATTCCATTCAACAGTTCTACTTACGAATTTAGTTAGTATGAGCATGAGTAGTTACAAGGGAGACTGGGAAGTGAATTTTACTTCAGGAAATCAGTGTGCCAAGCTAAATCCATTCTGTTACGAAGAAGGAAAGCAAGAAGAGATGTTTGTATAGGCAACTAGTATTTTCTACCATAGTGCCTGAACTGATCTGTTTTTTCTTAATGTACAATTTCCAAGATCCAGAAAAACTTGGTGCTTTGAGTTTTAATGAAATACATCCACAACCTGACAAAAATGGAAGATGACTTGAGACTTGATAGGCTGCTTCTTAAGGCACTGCCAACAAATAAGAGATTTTCCACCAGATAAGTCTTGTACCAAGCCTACAGAGTGGATCAACTTTGGGCCATCATTTGTATTCCTTTTACGAGTGACCTGTTCACAGTACAGTCCATCTCCATTGTCTGAGGATGATTTACTTGCTCATTTCCCTTATTATATCAGATGTGGTAGTGGTGGTAGAGGTGTACAGTCATGTTGATTTCACTGTTTTTCAGATCAAGAAAAACCGATCAGATTTTTTTGACAACACAAGGCTTCCTTACTTCTGCTTATCACAATGTCCAGTGTCCTATACCTGTATTAAAGTGGCTGTTTCGGGTAAGAGAGAGGTTTGGGGATATATAGTTCCCCCTGCTGTATTTCCTAGTCCAACTTTTAAAAATTTTTATATGCACATTAACAGAGGAGAAAAATTAATATAGTATATCTAATCCTTTCAGTAAATGAGAATAAGCAAAGAAACACTGTAAAGAGACTATAAAGGAAGTGATAGTATAACCAGTGTGTAGGATACTCAATAATGAAAGGCATTTCAGTACACTGGTAAATCACTATTTTAGTTATGGAGGTGTTTATATTAGGGTAGGTAAAACAAGTACCGTTACTGTAGTTCTGTTCCTATGTGCACAGGTTTATTCCAAAAAAAAATTCTACAACAGAAATACCACAAGTGGGTGGCATTAACTAACAGAAATTTATTCTCTCGCAGTTCAGGCTGCTAGAATTCTGAATTTGGAGTACTAGCTCTGGAGAAAGATCCTTGTCTCCTTTCAGCATCTGTAGGCCCAGCAGTCCTTGGAGATCTCCATATGTCTTGACATCAATTGTTCCCTGGATCTAGGAGCTTCACAGGATAGGAACCTCAGGTCCAAAGGTCGCACTCCACTCCTGACACCCAACAACAAACTTAACTGATAAGATATAATTAGAATGTATGCATCTTTGTGATTTTTATCATGAGTGTTTTAGAACAGGAAGGCATTTTACTTTGCCCACAACTATTTTCAAAAGGAATTTTTTGAAAGTGAAAATTTCAAGTAAAATGGAGATACATTAAAGAAAGCTGAACTCCTTTGAAGTCCTTAATTTTCAGGGGCTGTTTTTACTTGGCATTCTAGGTCTCTCTGAAAATACATAGGTTGCTATATATAACAATATAAATGGAACATGTGTTTTATAACTTATTTCATATAACAATGAATTGTTCAGATGTTTTAAGTTCAGTGTGTATACCTATTTATCATCCTTCTTAATGGTTTTATAATGTTTGTTTTTAGTATTCATTTGTAGGGCTGTATTATATATTTAACCCAATCCCAGTTGAGAGACAGTAGATTGTTTTTGTATACTTCTTTGCACATGTACTTATCTCAGATTATTGTATTGCCCACCTATAGAATTCATCTCCCCTCAAAATGATGATTATTCAAAATTTGCCCTGTGTTCAATATGCTTGTGACTGGTCCTGTCCCCTACTAGCATACTTTAACACAAGTATAGATGTTTTGTACATATACTTTACATGGACTGTTTTGTGATAAAAATACAGGCCATATGCTTAATTGAAAGTAAAGTTTGGTTTATTCTCCCTAACATTTTTTATTTTGATTTATTGCAACCCATAGCTCCAAAGCAAAAGAGAAAGAAGCAATCTTTCTTTTATAAGACCAGCATAACATTGATTTCAGTTATTCATTTATAACTTGAAGTTTTGTTCCCAAAAACTTGTCTTTTAAAATTTGTGGTGTTTGATCAGTGTTCTTGATCTTTGCGAAGGCAACTAATGATCTTGTCATTGTTTTTCTTTGCATTTCTGAGATTATGATGGCACTGAATATCTTTTTGACTAGTTTATTGCCATATTAATTTATATGTTATATCTTTCAAAATATTTTTGCTAGTTTGTGATTTGATTTTTGCCTATGATGTTAACTTTAGCAGCCTTTCTTGTATGGTTTTGGGTTTCATATTATGATAAGAAACATGGTAGTTCCATACAATAAGCACCGGGCTGTAAACCACAGGTTGGCGGGTCTAGCATACCAACCACTCTGCGAGAAGGATGAAGTTCTCAAAGCTTCAAAGCCTTTAAAACTATTTAGGGTTACTATGAGTTGGAACCAAGTAAGAACCAACTCAGCAGCACTGAGCAGCAATAGCATCACAATATAAACTAGAAAGGCATTTGTCAATAGTCTCAAATGTTATATTTGTTGAATTATAAATGAAAAGTCCTCTTATGACACTGTAAGATAAGTACTGGACTGCTAACCACAAGGTCAGTGGTTCAGATTCATCAGCTGCTTCTTTGAAAACCAATATAGGGTTACTGTGAGTCAGAACCGAGTTAATGGCACTTAACAATTATAAATGAAACTTATAAAGAGAAGCAGTATGGTAAAATTAAAGAGCCCTAACTTCAGAATCAAATCTGGATTTACCTACCAACTCTCCCATTTATCACATTAGGTAAAGAATTGAATCTCTCTGAGCCCATTTGCTCGTATCTGTAATGGGCAACTAGGGTTATTGTATTAAATGTACATAAAGTTTGGCAAAAAGTAAATGCTCATGTTTTCTCTTTTCATTTATCTACTTTTGACAGATGATGTCAGTTCATACAGACTGTATTGTGTCTGTGCAAATTTTAAGTACATTGATGGAAATAACAATTAGGAATGGTAAGTAAGAATTTACTGTGATTAGCAGTTTGTATTACTGATTACATGGTGTCCTTTTGTGTTATATTTGAAAATAATAAAATTCCATATTTTATATGAAGTTTTTAATAATGAAATGAAACGCCAATCAAAGGTACGTATTTTCAGTTTTCTAATTGCATTCAGAAAAGGGCCTAAGATCTTGGAATTTGCAGCCTTTATATAATAGTGACCCAAGTCTTGGTTCACTTTGCTAGGTAAGCACGTTTATTCAGTTATTTAGCCCGTGCATTTGAATTGTCTTAGTGAGCAATAATATTGTACTGAAGATGCACTGAGGAGAATGAAAGCCTACACTGCAAAAGTGTGGAAGTTGCTTTCTCACCTTTGAGAACTCTTAGAATAAGCATTGTGGTTTACTTGTTTTGAGGATTGGGAATACAAAGGCGCTAAAGTTAATCTATGTTTCACATACATGTTATTTACTTTGCAACTGAGTGTGTGGACCCAGAATTGGAAGTAAAATATTTTTTTTCTGTCAACTAGATCTCTTCAATGATTCACCAACTTGGCCCTGGATTCCATCATTATCTGATATAGCAGCTGTGTTTTTCAATATGGGGATTGATTTTAGATCTTTGTTTCCTCTTGAAAATCTTCAGCCAGACTTTAACGAAGACAATCTAGTGTAAGTGTTACTTAATATGTTAACACTGTATCGTTAACAAGATGTCTCTGCAGAGAGAATCTGTATTCTTAAAATATTTTAATAGATAACAATTGGATTTTTCTTACTTTATTCTAATTATAAAATTACACAACTAAATATGGAAAATTTAGAATATACAAAGTAGTAAGATTATCTGTATACTACCATTTAAAGAAAAACACTGTTAACATTTGGTTACCTTCTTTTCCAACCTCTTTATCCATGTGTTTTTACATTTTAACCAAAACCAGGATTTTATGCAGTTTTCACTTTTGAACATTTTTCTGTCATTATCTATTAGAACAAGTAGATTTTTCAAATTGTGCCATAAAGTCTGAGTTTGAACTAATTCAATCTTTTCATTTGTGGTTTGTATAGAGAAACTAAAAATATAGCAGTGGATCCTAGAATCCTAGTACCTATAGCCAAGAACCTGATATTGGCTACCACGTTAATATGGAGTGAAGTATATTGGATTTTTTTGTTTTACCTGGCAGTACCTGGAAGCCACCAATATGATGTTGTTGTAAGTGCTGTCAAGTCGGTTCTAACTCATACAGACCCTGTATAGGATTTCCAAGGAGCAACTGGTGGGTTTGAACTGCTGACCTTGTAGTTCTAAATCCAGTGCTGAACCTACAGCACCACACCAGAAGTCCACTGGTATACTGTTACTCATTCTTAGCCATTTGAAACAAGAAATTTTAAGATTGGGATATATTTTTTGTACGGTTGGCTGTAAAACTACATGGGTTTGGACTGCTTGAGTCCACTTAAGTTTTTTTTTTTTTTTTAATGTTTTGTGACACTAATCATCTCCACATGAGAGTTTGCCCCTCCAGTAAATTGAGTATTACAGTAAAAAATTCTCTCTCCTGATTCTCACATGGTTTTCTTCGTGTTTAGTGCAATGCTATAAACATTGAATAACATCATGAGACCCTTACACTGTGCCACTAGTGATGCTGGAAGTTCTACCAAGAAGCAGAGAAAAATCATGACATTACAAGAAAAAGTTGAATTGCTTGATATGTACCATGGATTGAGGTCTGAAACCACAGTTGCGTGTCATTTCAAGATAAATTAATTTAGTGTACAAACCATTGTGTTAAAAAAAAAGGGGGGGGGACAGGGGGGGTTGGAGGGACTTCATGCTCCAGCTATGCAAACTGTCATAAAAATCTGGCACTTTTTGCAAAATGCCTTTTTCCTCCAACTTAACACATAGCTGTTATGTGGGTGTAGTATATAATACATATAACGTATAAAATCAGTGTGAATCAACTGTTTATGTCATCAGTAAGGCTTCCAGTCAATAGTAGGCTGTTAGCAAAGTTTTTGGGGGAATCAAAATTTATAAACAGAATTTCAGCTGCACGGGGATCAATGTCCTTGACATTGCTAAACAAAACAGGTCTGTTGTTCTTGCTTTGTAGTCTTCTAATTTTGAAATAATGTGTATTACCATGAAGAAATAATGTAGAGAGAACCTGTATACCCTTCGTCTAGTTTCCTCCAGTTGTTGTTGTTAAGTGACATCGAGTCGGTTCCGACCCATAGCGAACCTGTACAGGGTTTCCGAGGAGTGGCTGGTGAGCTTGAACCGCAGACCTTGCAATTCAAACAGCTTTGCAGTCTGGTGCATTAACCCACAGAGCCACACATCTTAAATGATTGCAATACAATATTCCAGCCAGGAAATTGACATTGTTATGCTTTCAGCTTTTTTCAGATCTGGCGTTTTATCTACAGCAACTCGAAAAATTAGATAGAAATCTTAGGGAGCAATGAGTTATGTTAGTGGGGCAGAACAATTTGGAAAAGGTGGATGAGAATGCACAACTTCAATGGAATCAGTGTTGAGGAATGGTCTGCCTTGAGCAGCATGCTCTTTTAAACTGGAATATGTGATTTTTTTTCACATGTAAATTGACATGACCTCCATCACAGTCAAGGTTATATCTTCACTTGTACAATAATAATAAAAGATTTGGTTTTAGGTTCTAGCAAATTTGTTAACATAGAATACATTAATATGTTAACAGTAATAACTTGGCATTACGTTTTAATTACTGTATTAATTGCTAGTTTATGTTATCGCCTGTTATTTAGTAAATAATCTCTGTTAGTTGCCATCATGTCAATTCTGACTCATGACCTCCTATGTTATAGAACTGCTTTATCTAGGACCTATAAATAATCTCTCATTGTTCATGGGTAATAGTAGTGATCATATACTAATATACTAGTATTTTGTATATTTTTATTATGTGCCATTGAGTCGATTCTGACCCGTAGCAACCCTGTATAGGGTTTTCAAGGAGTGGCTGGTGAGCTTGAACCACCAACCTTGTAGTTCAAACGACTTTGCAGTCTGACACATTAGCCCACAGCACCACACCAGGACTCTGATGTATAGCATTTTGTATACATACATACATACATATATACACACACACACACATACAAAGGAGCTCTGGTAGCATAGTGGTTATGAGTCGGGCTGCTAATTTCAAGGTCAACTGTTCGAAACTACCAGCCGTTCTGCGGGAGAAAGATGAGGCTTTCTGCTCCTGTAGATTTACAGGCTCAGAAACCCTATACAGGGTTGCTGTGAGTTGGAATTGACTTCACAGCACACTACCACCACCACCACATAGTATATATAATGCCAAAACTATATTGTTATAAAAGTGAAGACATAATAATCATGGTCCTCTAAGATGACCTTTTCATTGTTTTTTAAAAATAATACATGTTCATTGAAGAACTTTGGAAATATGACAAGTTGTCTATAATCCTTCCTCCTACAAACCACTGTTAACATTTGGATTATATATATTCGAAGTCTTTTTTTCCTTGAGTATATACTTTTTAAAGGGGGATTATATGTTTCAAAACCAACTGTTTTTAACTTTTTTTTTTTTCATTTTTGAAAAAGTGATTTTGAATGACACTTTTTAAAGAGTCCGTGAATTTCATTACATTCCCCTTAATTTACTCAACTGCTTTCTGTAGGTGGCAGTTATTTCCAGGTTTCCTGCTATTATAAATAATGCTTTGGTGAACATTCATTTACTTAAATATTTATGTGAATCTTTTCAAAAGAAATTCACAAAATAGAAATGCCTTGATGTGTAATAAGCTCCAAAAACATTTTGGATCAACACAGTTTAATAAGAATGTATTTAATTAATAGATTAAGAATGTACCAATTCAAGATCAATATCAACTTTGAGAAATTTTAAATTTTTTTAAACAGATCCTTGTTTTTTAAACTTATTTTGAATTAAGTGAAGGTTTACAGAGATCATCAGTTTTACATTCAAGACATCATCTCAATGATTGCAATCCTCTCGTAATCCAGCTTCCTCCCTGTGATTCCTATTTCCATTCTACCCACCTTCCCATCCCTTCTCAACTTTGTTCTTAGGCAAATGTTGCCCTTTTGATTTTGAATGATTGACAGTTTCATGGTGAGCATACTTTATTAGTGTTGTTGTCTGCCGTATAAACTTAGCAAATGCTTGGTTAAAAGTTGGGCCATAAGGTGGGATCCTTTCCAGACATGAAGGGTGGTCGAGGACCATAGTCTCAGATTTCGTCTCTTTCTGACCAGTAAGCCTGGTCTATCATTTTAAATGAAAATTTTTTAATAGTAATATTCATTTGATAAATACCATTCTTGATTTTTTTTAATTTCTCAAAGTTGATATTGATCTTGAATTGGTACATTCTTAATCTATTAATCAGATAACATTCTTAATAAACTGTGTTGTTCTGAAAGCCATCATCGTATTTAACAGAAATAATGGAAACATTCCCTTAGGAATTTAAAAAGAACACTATTAATATCACCAATTTTAACATTTTATAGGGACTGACCCAAGCAATTATATACAAAGAAAAAAATAAGCTAAAAAATTTGGGAAAGAGTCAGTGAAATACTTTTTTGTAGTATTCATTTAATGTATACATGGAAATCTAAAAGTCAGCTGAAAAACTCTGACAAATAAAAATTTGGTATGGGTGGCTGTGTACAAAATGAATAGAGAAATCCGTAATCTTCAGACATAGGAACTTTACTACACTGAAAGACTCCATTTATATAGCAAGAAAAAATTGAAATAGTAATGAACTTAACTAAAAATACTTGTGTGTGTGTGTGTGTGTAATTTAAAATGTCTCTAAGGGACCAAAAAGACCTTAAGAAATGGAAAAGTATACTGTGCTTGGGACACTGTAGGATAAAGCACTGGACCTCAAGGTCAGTTTGAACCACAATTTTTGGCAGTTCAGATTTACCAGCCGCTCTTGGAAACCCTGTACAAGGGTCGCTATGAGTTGGAACTGATTCGATGGCATTTAAAAACAACAATCCTGGTGTGGCATTGTTGGATAAGCACTGGACCTGAAGGTCTGTTTGAACCACAAGGTTGGCAGTTCAACAGTTGCTCCTCAGAAACCCTATACTGAGTATGAGTCAGAACAGACTTGATGGCACTTAACAACAACAATCCTGGTTTGGCACTATAAGATAAGCACTTGATTTCAAGGTCGGGTTGAACCACAAGGTTGGTAATTCAAACTCTCCAGGCTCTCCTCAGAAACCCTATATAGAGTCACTATGAGTCAGAACTGACTCAACAGCACTTAACAACAGCAACAATACAGCAGGACTATAGAAGTGTAATACAATGAGATCTCCAAAAGCCAGAACCTATATGAGACAGAAATCTGTCAGAGAAGAAAAAATTAAAACATTTTCCCCTAAAATTAGTGGTAGGAAAGTGGTAAGACTGCACCCTGTTGAAGGTGGAAAACTTAAGAGATCCAGAAAAGCAAGGCATTTCCATTGAGTTCCTATTCTCACAGGTTTCACTGTAGGAAAAACTGGCACAATTATCTTTATAATCCTAGAAGCAGAGAAGATAGTTTATGTATGAACTAAAACCCAGGTTCAATTAAAGGTCTGTATTTCATCAATTAAAATAGGAAGAATGCTTTTCCAGCCCATCCAAAAACTCCAAGCGTTTCTCCCAAATAATACTAAAATACTCTTAACGTAACTATACCTATGGAGTCCTGGTGGGGTGCTATAGGTTAATGTGCTGGACTGCAAGGTTGACAGTTCAAGCTCACCAGCTGCTCCTCAGAAACCCTATATAGGGTGGTCTCTGTGGGTCGGAACCGACTGGATGGCACTTAACAACAACTATATATAAACCCTTAGCTAGAGATTTCTGCATAATTGATAATCATTTTAAATACCAATGGCTTTTGGGAGAAAAATGTAGAAGTAAACTGAAAATCAAAAGACCAAGTTTGCTGGTCTGATAGAGACTGGTAGAACCCCCAAGATTTGCAGAATAGACAACCCTTTAGACTTGGAACTAAACTAACCCCAGGGGCTCAACTTACAACAAAATGATTGATGGGCCTATGAAGTGAACACCAACAGTACATGATCAAAAGGACAGGATTTTGCCCAGAAATAAGGACGCCTGGTATGCCCCATAGGATAGTTTTAGTTATTAATTATATTATTATTAAACTGCAGACTACATGGCTGGCAGTTCAAGCCCACCAGCTGCTACTTGGAAACCCTGTTGGGGAGTTGGAACCAACTCGAGGGCACTTAACAACAGAGCTCAGAAGGCAGGAAAGTATAGGAAAGGACAAATGGAAGTGGTGGAATGAGGGCTGTTGTACTGTGAGGATTGCAATCAGTGCCACAAAACAATGTGTATAAATTGTTGAAAGCCAGTGTGCTCAGTAAACTTTCACCCAAATCACAATAAATAGTTTAAAATATCAACTGCTGTATTACCTAACATAAATGAACTCAAATTAGTTGTCATGGTGACTTCACATATATATCTGAGTAGAACTGTACTGTGCTCCATAGGATTTTCATTGACTTTTTTCAGTAGAGTACCAGGCCTTCCAAGGTGCTCTGGGTGAACTTAAACTCCAACCTTTCAGTTAGCAGCTGGGCACGTTAACCATCTACACCTTCCAGTGACTACAGTAAATTCACTAGTGAGTGGTAATTTTTGTATGCTGTATACAACAGATTTAAATATTTCTTGACTGTAATGAGCATAACCTATAAAAATTAATAATGAAGATACATAATGATTGCAGTAAATCACATAGTAAATGCTAATACTTAGCATAAGAATTGTTTTACTTGATTAATTAACAGTTGAAGCATTGCCTTAGTTTAGGTGACCTGAGTAGGCAGGTGTTGACTGTAGTCATTGTCGCTATATAATAGGCAAGAGTGAGCTCAGATGAGCAGGAGTAAGCTGGGGAAGAATGAACAGAAAAATGCACCAGACTGGATCCTATTGAGATAAGACCACAATTCACTCTACTTTCGCTCCCCAAGATGTACATGCATCTGAAGCCATTTTTTCGGTGTATACAGGCATACCTTGGAGATGCTGCAGATTCTGTTCCAGATCACCATAACAAGAGAATATCACAATAATGCATCATATGAATGTTCTGGTTTCCCAGTGTGTATACAAGTTACACTATGATGTAGTCTTTAAGTGTACAATAGCATTATGAAACAGTTTGAATATTATATTACCAAAATATGACATAGAGAACACGAAGTTAGCACATGCTATTGGAAAAGTAGTGCCAGCAGGGTTGCCACAAACCTTATAAAAACGCTTTCTCTGAGAAGCACAATAAAATGAGGTTTCCCTGTATATGTGTACTCTACCCAAATAGTAGATTAGAGATTAAGATGCTTGCAAATTAGTAGAGTAAAATACTGTCACAGAATTCAGATACTGAGGGGATATTACTACAGTTCTTTGTTAACTGCTATTCCACTAGGTATGATGTTATAGCATAAACACTGGATGGGTGGTTCAGACCCACTAGCCATTTCTCAGAAACTCTTTTGGAGAGTCACTATGAGTCAGAACTGACTCGCTAGCATTTCACAATTCTTCTGGTTACATAAACCAAAATTTGAGTCCTGATGAGGCAATCTGCTTCTGTAAAGATTTACAACCTTGGAAACCCTCTGGGGCTGTTCTGTTCTGTTCTAAAACGTTGCTATGAGTCAGAATCAACTTGATGGCAAGGTATAGCTTAATTTCTTTGGATTCTTCCTCCCTTAGTTCTCACATCCCTGTGGTTCCCTTCTCACAGCTATTTTCTCCTTTTCACTCCCACTGCCCTCTTTTCAGGCCTAACCTTGGCAGAAATCTCCACTCCTTCAGAGTTTTTTCACCTCCACGCTGCTTTTGCTTTTCACTGTTGGAAGATTCCTTTTATGAAAGCACAGCCTTGAACTTCTCTGTCCCCTATCCTCAAACTCTTACACATTATATTTAAGACTGACTTAGTTTCTATTCTGCTCTCTCCCTTTTGTTGTAACCAAATTGTTCTGCCTTTATTGTCCACATCTGCCATGTTATATTGGCTCTTCCTCATGTTGATCTTTCACCTCCATCCTTAGTGTCTATCCATCAAAACGTTACCTATCTCAGTGAAGCATTGTTTATAAGAGCAAGAATATTGGTACATTAATTATCATCACTAACCCATAGTGCTTACTATGTGCCAATAGTTACTGTAACTATTAGATAGTATTTTGATACCTTATCATTTTTAACCATATAAATGTATTGAAAATTTTTCAGAAAATAGCATTTGTCTTATGAAGGTCGAGTTCATGTGTCTCCACTTCTCTAAACATTCACTTAGTACCTCAAGCAGAATTGAGATGCTTAGGATTTGGTCATTTTATTGCTGTGGCAATTTCTTTAGGCTGTTGGTGAGGCCTCTAACTAGTGTGAATTCTTACAGCTACCGTCTACAGAGTTCTATGATGAAAACAGCAGCGAGGATACTGCCTTATGAAAAGTAGTTTATTCAAGGGAAAACTAGTACTTAGGGACAAATCAGATTCGTGTTTGCCTAGGATGGAACACTGATGTGAATCTGACATGAAGGAACGTTTATGATGATTTGATTTGTGTGATGGTTACACTAGCTCATACATATTTATCAAAACTTAAAAAGGATGCATTATGTAAATCATACCTAAATAAAAACCAATTTCTTGAAAGTGTCTGATATTAAAATGAGTGATTATTTTGTGCCTAATTTCACCTTGCTTTATTCACTTTCAGTAGTTCAGAAACACAGATGACCTCAGTGGGGAAGGGAACTGAAGAGTCGTCTTATAAGCCAATTTTTTCAACTCTTCCTGAAGCCAATGTTTTAAATGTGGTTAAGGTAGGAAAGAATTGTCTGTGTCTCTTTGGCATAGAGCTAAAAATGTTTCATTTTCTTATTAATGCTTTCTTTAAAAATCAGTAGTATCTTACTAGGCAATTTCTAGTTTCTGAAATTTTTAGGAATAATCGTTGTATTAAAGATCATTTGTATTTTTTTTTTTAATATTAGGAGTGAAAGGGAAGTTTAGGGTAGAGTAATTAGCAATCCTGTTGTTATTATTAGGACCCATCAGGTTGACTCTGACTCATGGCCACTATACACAACAGAACCCAATACTGCCTAATTCTAGGGATAACTTAAAGAGCACTGGTAGCACTGTGGGTTAGGCATTGGCTGTTAACTGAAAGGTCACTAGGTCAAACCCAACTGCTGCTCCATAGGGGAATGATGGGGCAGTCTGTTCCCATTAAGATTTATAGTCTCAGAAACCCTAAAAAGAATAGATACGAGTTGAAATCAACTCAGTGGCAGTGGGTTTTTTATTTTAGGGATATCTTTACCAAAAATGTTTCTGTATCAAATATGTTTCTGAAACATGCATTTTTTTTTTTTTTAACTTGGTTGTAGATCTATTTATAGACAATAGTTTTACATTCAACAAATCATGTACTTGGTTTCATCTCAATGATTGCAATCCCCCCCATCAACCGCTGTCCTACTTCCTACCTGTGGTTACCTATGTACAAATAAACTCTTTCAAACTCATTTATGTATTTATACATACATAAGGAGCTCTGGTAGCGTAGTGGTTATGCATTGGGCTGTGAACCACAAGGTCAGCAGATCAAAACTACCAGCTGTTCCATGGGAGAAAGATGAGGATATCTTCTCCCATAAAAATGTACAGCCTTGGAAACCCTGTACAGGGTCGCTATGAGTCGGAACCGACTCCATGGCATGTAACAACAACAACATATGTATATATTCTACTCTTCCTCCCATACCCTTTCAACCTGTGTCTGTCCATGTATCCATACACATAACACTGTTTCAAGATTGTACATATATCACTATTTACCTCTCTCCCCTTCAGCCCTTGCATACCCGCCTGTGTCTTCATCATTCTTTCAACCTCCCTCTTGTATATTGCCCTCCTGCTTCTTAATATATTGCCTTCCTTGTCATGTGAGTTAGCATATGTCTACCTTCTAGCTAGTGAATTACTCTTGCTTCCTTCTAATTCCTGATAACCATCAAAGAATGTTTCTTGTAGAATGAAAACCATTTCTTGAATTTTTACAATAGTGATCCCACACAATGTTTATCCGCTTGTGATTGACTTATTTCACTCAGAATAGTGTCCTCCAGGAAACCCATACATTTTAAAATAGGATGTGTGAAGAAAACAGTTATTTGCTTGCCATATAATTTAGTGGTCCAGAGACTTCCATGCTTAAAAGTGTTTTAAAATAGAAGAGTTTGATCTACCAAAAATGGCAATGCAACTGAGGATTGATGACAGTATGAAAACATATTTAATGGCTAAATTAAGTCAGTGACACTGAAAATCTTAAAAATGAAGAGAATATACATCCTATGAACTAATTCAGATAATAACATGACTATTTCTTGCCTCTTTTATGAAACATCTTATACTTTGCTTTTTTTCTAATTCTCTTTTGCATCTTTTGTTAAAACCTTTTATAATTGAAACTCTTCAAGCAAAATATATTTCAAGTTGTTTTGTGTGTGTGTTTGGGTTTAAGTTTCTAGGCTTGTGTACATCTATACATCCAGAAGGTTATCAGGATCATGAAATAATGTTGCTGATTTTAATGTTGTTTAAAATGAGTTTGGAAAAACAGCTGAAACAGATTCCTCTAGTGGACTTCCAAAGCCTCATGATAAATCTTATGAAAAACATCAGAGATTGGAACACAAAGGTAATGTTACTTCCTTATTGGTTTTATGTATAGCATTATACATAAAGCATTATACAGTGTGACTTTGTAATGCATGGAGAATTGATAGTATTTCTAAGCTCTGCTGTGATCTTTGGCAGATAAAAAAATGAGCCTAAGGAAAGGACTTTTGTGGGAAGCAGTATACTTAAATTTTTGGTAACTGAAACTTTTCTAAAACTGCAGCTATAAACATGTTTATTGGGGGTACTGTGGGCCATGCATTAATGTAAGTGTACTAGAGATACAGATGTAAAAAGGACACCCGTCTTTGCCCTATTGGGACTTTCATCCTTATCAGAGGGTTAGGTAATAATTAAATGCATATTATAATACCATCTCAGGCTATACTAAAAATTCTGTGCACAAAAATTAAATAGGTCATGGTATAGAAAGTGGCAGGGCAGGGATACTGTGCTATTTCAGATGAGACAGAAAGCCTTTTTGAAGTAATATTTGAGCAGAGACCTAAATTAATTGATGGGGTACTAAAATATGAGGATTCCAGAAGTGCAGGAAATGTCAGATCAGGAACATGATCTTGCTCAACTTTCATCATACAGATTAGGAGACGGATACTTATATTTAGATCATTGTTTTTCCAAGATAGACTATTTAAATGCATATAGAGGTAATACAACACAAAACATGAATGGCAAATGAAATTCTGATAATATTTGTTTGTTTTGGAGTTTTAAGATAAACCTGAATCTGTGTACTGTGTACAGTTCAGCAGCTTCTAGACTTCATGCTATTTCTAAAAATAAGTGCTCTTTTTTATAATATTGGAAATTACAAGAAGGGATGTGGATGACATGTTTGAAAAGAAATTTTACTGATTCTTTGTTTTCAGGTGCCTGATCTTTGTGTAGCCATAAATGAACTCTCCAGTCATCCCCACAACCTTCTGTGGCTGGTACAGCTCGTTCCTAACTGGACATCACGTGGAAGGTATTGAAAAGTGAGAATTGAATATTAAGAAGCTTCATGATGTTTACATTAATGCTTTGGGAGCCTTTATTTTCATTCATCATTCTTTAAATATTACACCAGATTTATTTATTTCATATTCAGTTGTGGGAACAGGCATTAACTGATTTTTTTTTTTTTTTTTCTTAAGTCAACTGCAATCATTTTGATTTTTTAAATTTTAGTTTATATGTTAATTTATTATAAATGATACACACCATAAAAACATGCATTAGCATGCATTTGCTTTCGTAAAAAGAAATTCTAGAAGTAAAGTAGATTTTTCTGTCAGTAAACTAGCAGGGTCAAAAAATAAAGGCTCTTAATGATTTGCCTGAGCTTCAGGTAACTTCTTAATTTTATGTACACATATTGTACATGAATTTTTTTTCTGTGTTTCTAAGCTTAGGTATATTTTTGTAGTCTTCTGAACACAGTGGCTGTTTCCAATGAGAAATTAAAAGACTCTTTTTAGCAGTACTGATTAAAATATATTTTAAATACTTTCAAATTTTAATTCCAGGCAACTGAGACAGTGCCTCAGTCTAGTGATTATTTCAAAGCTTTTGGATGAGAAACATGAAGATGTCCCTAATGCCAATAATATGCAGGTATAAATACATTTTTATTTATTTTTCATGGGGAAAGTTAGTGAGGTATAGAGAAATTTGAATGGCCCTAATAGCATAGGAGTCCTGGTGTGGTGCTGTGGGTTAATGCGCCAGACTGCAAAGCCATTTGTACTGCAAGATCGGCGGTTCAAGCTCACCAGCTTCTCCTCAGAAACCCTATACAGGGTCGCTATCGGTCGGAATCCACTCAACAGCACTTAACAACAGCAACAATAGCATAGTGGTTACAAATTGGGCTGCAAATCACAAGGTCAGCAGTTCGAAACGACCAGTTGTTCCACAGGAGAAAGATGAGGCTTTGTGCTCCCATAAAGATTTACAGTCTTGGAAACCCTGTACCTGGTCGCTTTGAATTGGAACCAACTCCACAGAATATAACTATCACCACCAAGTCAAAAGTCTTAGGGTTAGTTCTCGATTCTCAAGCATAATACTATCCATGTAGTCTTCAGTACGGTATTTAACTAATGAGATCCAGTTTTTTCATTTGTGAGATGGAGATCATATCACAGCCTCCACTACATGGAAGTCTTGGTGGACTGCAAGGTCAATTTGAACCTCAAAGACAGCAGTTCAAATTCACTAGCTGCTCTTCAGAAATTCTATCAAGGGTTGCTATGAGTCTGAACCAACTCGACAGCAGTTCACCACCACCTGGGATGGTTGTGGTCAATCAAATAATTTATAATAAGCGCTGGGAAAATCATCATGTGCTATATAAAGCGTTGTTAAGTGCCATTGTCAGTTCTGACTCATAGTGACCATATGTAGGATTTCCAAGGAGCAATGGTGGGTGTTAAGTGCTGATCTTATAGTTAGCAGTCTAGTGCTACCCTGTAGCGCTACACCAGGACTCGAATTGGTTTAATTTATCAAGTTTAGCAGTTTTTATCAGAAGATAAATTGCGAAACTATGTGCATTCATTGTATCTCATAATCTGTTTTAATATTAGAATCTTTTAAAATCCTAGATCATAAATGTAATTGCCGTGCAGTACTTATTCAGTAGTGAATCCTATTGTGTAAATTTCAGTATAACCTACAAGCTTTTTTATAAACATTGACAGCACTTGCACTCATGGGGTTACTCTCAGTTGGATATGAAAACTCAGCATACAACTTGATCTAGATGTTCTTGTTTCAACTGCATTTCAGTACAAAGTACTCGACTAGGTTCAAGGGATGAAAACATGAATTTGATATAAACATGTGTTGAAAAAAATTTGGTAACCACTATGGTATAATGTGGTAAGGATTAAAGTGACAGGAGTATGTACAGGTGCTGTGGGGACAAGAGAGATGGATGGGGACAGCTGGTTTCTGCTTTCATGGAGTTGAGCTAGATTTGATTCTAGAGATATGAGGACAATTCCTGAGCCATATGGTTGTTAGCAAATTTCTTAAGCAATATTTACTGTCATCAAAGAAGAACTGGGAGGAGGGGGTTAAATTTCCACTACCTGCTTCTTAATTATTGCTTGTCCTGTTACTTACAGTTTTGTTTTGTTTTTTTTAAGATAATTTCTTAAAGTATTTCCTGTGACCTGTATTATAATGCCATTTAGTCTCCTCTAAGCTTTTTTTTTTTTTTTTAATTTGGGTGCATTTATAGAACAAATTGGTTTTCCATTCAACAGTTCATACACATCTTGTTTGCCATTGATTACAATCCCCACAATGTAATAGCATTCTCCCTGTGTTTACTATTTCCAATTTTTCTTCCTTCCTGCCTTCTGAGCTTTATTCCTAGGTGAATGTTACCCTTTTGATCTCATAAGGTTGATTGTTCTAGTGAGTGCCTATCTCCTTGGTGTTACTGTTCACTTTTATAGACCTGTCATTTGACTGAAAGTTGAGTGAGCCATGGAGGTAAGTTTCAGGTCTGAAAGATGTCAGACCATAGTCTCAGGTCTTCCACCAGTCTTTTTATCAGACCAGTAAACCTGGTCTCTTTGGATTTTTAGTTTTGTTCAGTCGTTTTTCTCCCACTCTATCCAGGACCTCCAGTTGTCAGAGCAGTCAACAGTGATGCCATCTACTAGTTCTAGTCTCAGGGTTGGGGAGGCTGGGGTCCTTGTGGTCCATTAGTCCTTTTAGTTTCCTTGCATCTTTGATTTTCTTCTGTCTTCTTTGCTCCGAATGGGGAGAGACCAACAGTTGCGCCTTATTTAAATGGCTGCTCCTTAAGCTTTCACCCTAAAGCACAAGTCATAAATCTTTAACTTAAAATCCCTTTTAAGGACATTAGGAAAGTAATACCATTTACAATAGCTGCCCACAGGATGAAATATCTAGGAATAAGTGTAACCAGGGAAACAAAGGACCTATACAAAGACAACTAAAAAACACTACTACAAGAAACCAAAAGAGACCTACAAAAAATGGAAAATGTGCCATGCTCCTGGAGAGGAAGACTTAGCATTGTGAAAATGTCAGTACTGCCCAAAGTAATTTACACATATAATGCAATCCCAATCCAGATTCCAATGACATTCTTCAAAGAGATGGAAAAAAACAATTAGAAACTTTATATGGAAAGCAAAGAGACCCAGGATGAGCCAAGCACTGCTTAAAAAAAATAAGGTTGGAAACTTCTCCCCAACTTCAAATTTTATTGAACACTACAGTGGTCAAAACAGCTTGGTACTTGTACAATGAAAGATCAATGGAACAGAATTGAGAATACAGAAATCAACCCATCCACATCCAGCCAACTGATTTTTGACAAAGTACCTAAATAATATTGCATGGGGAGGGGATAGTCTTTTCAACAGATGGTGCTGGCAGAGCTGGAAAGCAATATGCAAAAGATTGAAACAAGACCTTTACCTCATGCCTTATTAAAAAAACCAGCGCAGCATGGATTAAAGACCTAAATGTAAATCACAAAATTATGATGGCCATCAATGAAAAAATAGGGACAAATGTGAAGGCACTAATTCAGGGAATACACAGACTACCAAGCAAAAGTAGACAAAATAGATAATTAGGACATAATAAAAATTAAAAACTTATGTGCATCAAAAGACTTCACCAGAAAAGTAAAATAGGGAACCCACAGAATGGGAAAAAATATTTTGCAATGACACATCAGACAAGGAACTCATTTCTAAAATATATAGGAAGCTACAACATCGCTACAAGAAAAAGATAATCCAATTAAACAATGGACAAAGCACATGAACAGACACTTGACCAAGAAGGAGATCCGGGCAGCCAACAACATATGAAGAAATGTTCATGATCACTGGCCATTAGAAAGATGCAAATCAAAACAACAATGAGATACCATGTCACACCAGCAATAACAGCAAAGATCAAAAAAGTAGAGGACAATAAATGCTGGTGAGGATGTGGAGAGACTGGGACGCTCCTGCATTGCTGGTGGGATTGCAAAATGGTCCAAACTCTGGAAAGCAATATGGCGCTTCCTCAGAAGTTTGGAAATAGAAATACCTTATGATCCAGCAATTCCTCTACTTGGTATTTGAGTAGATATATGCATACCTATGTTCATAGCAGCACTATTTACAATGGCTAAAAGATGGAGACAGCCAAAGTGCTCATCAGCTGAAGAATGGATAAACAAACTGTGGTGCATACATACAATGGAATATTATGCTACCTTGAAGAATCACAAGGAAACTACAAGCCACCACATAACATGGATGAACCTTGAGGACATTATGTTAAGTGAAATTAGTCAGTCACCAAAGGAGAAATACTATATAGGACCAATGCTGTAAAAGACTAAGAAAAGGAACCCATACTAAAGGGGGGGGTGGTTTTGGGGGAAGGTGGAGCACAGGGTGAGGAATAGACACAGGGTAGTTTAGGTGTTAGGGAGGGGGGCAATACACAAGAAGGAGGAGAAGAATGAAAGAACAAGGCAGATAGGAAAACAATTAGGCAGGTTTGCATGGGCTAAGTGGAACAGAGGTAAATAATGATGTATGCACAACCTTGGAACAACAGGACTCTGGGATACAGGGAATGAGACATGGTTGGAATGGGCAAAAGGGGGGAAATAATGTTAAGATGCTTGGCTGTCTTTTCAATCTTGGTTTCCCTGGCATACCATTATAAAATAGACACTTGAAGGGGAGAGAAAGGAATAGCCAGAAATATCACCATAGAAAGCTTGTAAGTCCATCTTCTGCTTATAATTATTGGAATACCTAAAACGGGGCTACAACGAGCCCAGTGAAGGAGGCTTCCTGAGGAGCCTCTGTATTATATAAGACCATAGGTGGTATTCTGAACCTCATCGAGAATCTTCTGAAGTGGGACATTTCCACTTGAAAGGACAAGCAGACCAGCCTGGAGAGGCTAAAACAGAAGGTACTTCTTGAAAGAAAGACAGACAGAAAAATACAAAACAGTAATGGCAGTCCGACTGATTACTGCAAGAACAAGCAAGTTGCTCACCCAGGAGACATCAAGGCAAGTGGTTGGGTCACCTCAGGGCAAACACTTTTCCAAGACTAAAACTCAGTGGGAATACTCCCTGATTGGTGACCACATTCGTCACCCATAAGAGGAATGAGAGGAAAACAGCAATGAAGCTATGAGCTAAGCCCTACAATGTTCAATAGACTCCTGTGAACCTGGGTGGAGACCTGGTTGGCAGTGTGGCAAGACCTGGGGACTCTTGGGTCCAGAGTCAGTGACATAGCCATAGAGGACTAGAGTGGAGAGTGAAGCGTCCTACTGATAAGAGGGGGCATATGCATAAGAACGCCCACACTTGCAGATAATACCCACTTGACCTGGCTTCAATGACTAGATGATTAGAGCTCAACTAGAAGAAGAAAGAGGAAAAGAAGTAATTTGATACAGTTTGATGAACTTGATCTACACCTATGGATGCAGTATCTTAAAAGAGGGAATAAATCTTTATAGCGAGGATCATTCCCACCCCCTCCATACATACAGTAGACAGGAATGGGCAGCTTGGGCATTGGCTACCCAAAATGGGGGCACTACAAAGGCAAGAAGTGACTGGCTTACAAGCTTTCAAGAGGGAGCCTAGATCCAGAGGGCACAGAGGAAGGTAGAATCTCCACTGAGTAGTATCCAATCTGTCTATGTGGGGCTAATGAAAGGAGATGGGGGGGATAGGTCTTTTGTGGTACAATAGTGAATAATTGTTATCAGGACTGACTGTGAGAGTTGGAAATCTAAAGGTAGACATATTGTAGCAAAAGGAGGGGAGTGATTGACTTTGCAGTCTAGGAGCGGAGTTCACTGGGACCATCAAGGGAGAAGAGAGGAGTGCAGGACCCTACCCAGAGAAAGTGACGCCAGAGACGGAGACAGAGACCATGACGTAGAGAGATGGAGGGGCTGTGTTCTGACAACTGGGGCTGGCAGGGTATACCTTTGGGTTGGTTGATGGTGCATGGAGGGATTGTAACCATGGCAATGAAACGATATAGATAGGATGAATGTAAAGCTAATGTTCTCCAATGCAAACTATCACAAAATTCACAATAAAAAAAAAAAAGATACCCTGGTGGCACAATGGTTAAGTACTGTTTTGCTAACGGAAAGGTTGACGGTTTGAACCCACCCAGTGGCTCAGTTGGAGAGAAGAGGTGGCGATCTGTTTGCATAAAGATTATGGCCTAGGACACCCTGTGTGGCAATTTTACTCTGTCAAATAGGGTCTCTATGAGTCAGAATCAACCCCATTGCACCTAACTACTGTGACCATAGGAGGAGTCCACTTTACTCCTGTAGACCAGATGGAAGCTGGAGTAAGATGTGAATCCTCTGGTGACAAGGTACATCTTACATAAGATTTCTTAGGAGGAAGCCATCTGTTGAGAAGGTGGGATGCCCATTCAGAGGACTAAAGCGTCCGCTCCATCAAGCAGACAACTTGACCAGAGCTCAACCCTGACCCCACAGAGCCAGCAGGCATCTCTTTCCTTAGTGCTAGGATAAGCACTGGACCACAAGGTCAATTTCAACCACAAGGTCAGCGCTTCAAACTCACCATCTGCTACTTGGAAGCCCTATATAGGGTTGCTATAAGTCAGAACTAACTCCATGGCACTTAACAACAACAATACAGAGGACAAGGGCTCTCAGGGCATCTCACATGCATGTCCTTTCATTCTCTCCCTCTCTCCACTCTCCCCTCCACATGCTCTTCTCCCCCTCCAGACTCTCTGATGGTCCAATCCTCCCCACTCTCAGACATAACCCTCAAGGCCAACCCACTAAAAAAAAAACCCTTTTAAGCAATTGAAGATTTTTAAATAAAGAGGAAATTGATTTTAGTAGACTATAGGAGAGCTAAAGGGGCAGAATTAGGAAATGTAAAATGAACAGATTGTTGAGTATTGTTAGGTACTGTCAAGTCTGTTTTGACTTATGGTGACCCTATGCGCAACAGAACGAAACACTGCCCGATCCTGCACTATTCTCACAATTGTTACATTTGGGCCCACGTTGCCACTATATCAGTCCTTTTTTGGGGGGTCCTCATCTTTTTTGTTGACCTTCCATTTTATCCAGCTGATGTCCTTCTCCAGTACTGATCTCTCCTGGCAACATGTCCAAAGTACTAGAAGCAAAGTCTCGCCATTCTTGCTAAATGTACTTTTTTGCCAAGATAGTTGTATTTGTTCTTCTGGCAATCCATGCCATGGTACTTCCAATATTCTTTGCCAACACCATAACTCAAATGCATCAGTTCTTCTACAGTCTTCCTTATTCAGTGTCTAACTTTCACATGTGTATGAGGTGATTGAAAATACTATGGCTTGGGTCAGGCACACCTTAGTCCCCAAAGTGACATCTTTTGTCTTTGCTTTTCAACATTTCATAGTGGTCTTCTGCATCAGGTTGCACTTGATTTATTGACTGCTATTTCCATGAGTGTTATTTGTGAACAAAGGACACACTGAAAAAAGTAGCCTATAAAGAGAACTCTATTAGTTAGCATTACTTAATGTTCTTTTCTTTTCTTTTGATAGATAACAGTTCTATATCACTATCTTGTACAAATGAAGCCTTCTCATTTACTAAAGAAAATGGTTTTGAAGAAAAAGACTGAACAACCAAATGGCACCATTGATGAGAGTCTTCATTTGGAGCTTGAAAAGCAGGTATCCAGAGCTAGAAGGTCTCAAAGAGTACATAAGAGCATAATTGATGCTAACTCTCAGCGCACAGACTGATAACATAGGCATTTCTGATTTAAAGCTAGATACACTGCAGCAAATACATTGAAAAGTACCATTCGCTTATAAATTGACATCATGAAATTATTACGTAAACTTGAGTTAAAAATTTAGGTAAAGGATGGTTGTTAGTAATTTAATACTGGGAGTATTATTTTGTAGCCTTAGGACATTTATGAGGTGGTAAAAAGAGTGTGCTAGAGATAGAATTCAGAAAGCCTGAGTTTAATGCTTTTCACTACTTTATAACAGCTAGGTTAACTAGCAAGTCTTGTTTCTTGGACAACTTTCCTAACATGTAAACTGGAGGTAATATCTCTTAGCTGTAAAGCATTTCCTGTGGCCTCTATTCTGATGTCCTTTGGTCTCCTCCATAAGCTTTTACTGTAAATCTGGGAGTTAATTTTATTCCTTTCTCTAACAGGCCTATTATCTGACCTACGTTCTTCTTCATTTAGTCGGTGAAGTTAGTTGCTCTCATTCGTTTTCTTCTGGACAACGGGTAGGTAATTTATGTGTGTTTCCCTTTTTAATAGGTACCTTTACTTTGATGGAATGAATGAGCATCCTTTATAGAGAAGAAAACTTAAAAAAAATTTTTTTAATTAACCTTATATGTGCCATAGAATTCCCAACATACACTAGAAATAGAGGAGTAATAATGACCTTGCAACCATATCATTGACAGATTATTTGTCACCAAATGTTAGTTCTATTTGTAGGTGTGGAACTTAACCATCATAGGTTAGCATCAAGGTAATGTAATCCAAAAATAGCAAGGTCACCAAATACTTAATGGGCCAGCTCTTACCTGGATTCTTCCCATCTCTCCTCTAACCCACTTATTTCTCTGTAGATGTAGAATTCACTTTCACAGTTTAACTGATGATAAGTAAGGGTACTTCAGACTGCATTGTCTCCCCATACCAAGGTTTTCATTTTGATTCTGTCTCCCATAATGCTCTGATGCATACTCCTAGAGAAAATTCTTAATTTCTCTTTAAGTCAAATTTTTTAAAACTTAGTGTCTCCTAGGCATGAAAGAAAAGACACAAGCATAGTTCATGTGGTTTTATATGTTTTTTCTCCTGATTGGAACCTAATGCTGTTATCTATTTGTATTTTTATATTGAGCCTTACAGTTAAATTTTTTTCTAATTAAAAATAATGACAATTATTTTAAAATTCAATGATAGATCGTAAAAGGTACTGATAATCTTTTTTAAAACTTTTGCTGAATTCACAATAAAAAGTTGTCTTTATCATATAATACAGAAAATGAAGACTTATAATCCAGTGCCCACCTTATAAAATTCTGCACAATTTATGCATGTTTAATCATTTTTACAAAAGTAGTCATACTATTCATATTGCTTATAATTACTTTCTCTTAAAAGGTATTAGCATTTCTAAATAATAACTGGTAGTTTAAAACTTTATTGATGAACATTACTTTTTTGTGTGTGATTATATACAGTGTTCAAATAGCATGTATTTGTATTTATGTGTCTTTGCCCACCTGTGCAAGAATCTCTATAAGTTAAATTCCTAGAGAATTCTAGAAATAGAATTGCTAGGTCAAAGGCTGTATGTCAAATTTTCATTATTTATAGTAGTTATTACCACATACTTCCTTCTCAGAAGTACTCATTTACATTCTCTCCATGTACAGTCTGTGGGACTGTATACTTCTAAAACTTGAGGCACTTAATTTTTCTTTAGTATTGTGGTTTGAGTGAAAGCTTACACAACAAATTAATTTTCCATTCAACAATTTATACACATTTTGTTTTTAAACATTAGTTGCAGTTCTCTGGATGCAACAGCATTCTTCTCACTATTTCCTGGATTCCTTTTATATATTTGTCCTTCTTCCTTGCCCCTTCCCACCTTCCAAGCTTTGTTTTTGGGCAAATACTTCCCTTTTGGCCTTGCATGTTGAAATGTTCTTAGGACTATATTCCTCACAAGTGTTATTGTTCACTTTACAGACCTGTTTGGATAAAAGAAATCTGGGGATGGGTTCAGTTCTAGGTTTGAATGTTGCTTAAGAGTCCGTTTTGGGGGTTCCATTAGTTTCTTGTGTGGCATTGTGGATTAATGCACTGGACTGCAAAGTCAGTTTGAACTGCAAGGTCAGCAGTTCAAGCTTACCAGACACTCCTCAGAAACCCTGTACAGGGTGACTGTGGGTCAGAACTGACTTGATGGCACTTAATAACACCACCTACTCTCTATCAGACTAGTTAAATCCAGTCGTTCTTTGTGATTTTGAATTTTGGTCTACATTTTTTTCCTATTCAGGACCTTTTCTGGTCTCAGTCAGATAAGTCAGTAATGGTAGGTGAATACCAGCTAGTTCTATTAGTTTCCAAATAGTAGAGACACATTCACATGGTCCATTCGTCCTTTGGACTAATTGTTTGGCTCTTGAGTGTTTTCTTTCTTCTTTACTCCAGATGGAGAGATACCAATAATTGCATCTTAAATGACTGCTTGTTAAGTTCTTAGACCCTAGTTGCTACTCATCACAGTATGATGTAGAACATTGTCTTTGTGAACTATGTTATTATGCCAACTGACTTAGGTATCCCCTGAGACTAAGTTTTTATTTAAGAACCTCATATGGTTTTCTATTAATAGAAACTTGTTTTGTTCACAGACAAAAAACAAGCTAGTTTCATTTGAACATTCCACTAAAGAATGTGTTAAAGGAAGGACTTTTCAAATTTTGGGGTACTACATGACCCGGTCTGAACTATAGGGTTTACAATTTGGTCTGTTTTCTAAATTAGCGAGTAATAAATCATCATGATCTTGGCAGTTACTACATTTACTGATGTAATGTCTATTGATGATGGGTGATTAACTTCGGAAATTGCTAACTGGGGAATGATAGATTTTTAAATGGTTGTTTGCTATTCTGACTCCATGATCTCTTCTTTGTTCATTATTAAATCTTCTAAGTAGCTTTCATCCTTGTGTTTGTTTTATATAGAAACACTTAGTGCGACTCTGTGGGGCTTTGGAAAAGCACGTTAAGTGTGATATTAGGGAAGACCCAAAACGTTTTTATAGAACTAAGGTAAGTATGATTTTTCTTATGTTTTTTCAGTTTTGTTTTTGTTGGTTTATTATTGTTGTTTAGCCTTGGTTACATTGTATTTGAAGAGAAACATATAAGCCTCTTTATTAGTTAAGTGGGCTTCTGGGACAAGAGAGCAGAGTAGGCAAACGTGCACAGCAGACCCTCTGCAACAAAGACATGGGAGACCAGGTGAAATATATAGATGTTGATTCTGGAACCCTGAGCTTCAAAGGAAAGGATAGAGAGGTGGATAGAATTCTGACATGGAGAGAATACTAAGCCGAAACCGTAAGAGAGGAGAGAAATGGGTGAACTTCCGGCAACTTGGGCTACAGTTCTCCCTTGTTCCCAGCAGCAGGTGACACCGCAGTGTCTGCTCTGCCTGGGGTCAGGCACCAGGCATACCACTCCCACATCTAGAGGCTGATGAATTTCGCCTCATTAGATCTTTTATTACTGTCATCTGTCTTGGAGAGATATCAGGTATACCCATACAGTCCAGTAACATCCGTGCCTTATAAGGCTCCACCCACTGGGCAAACACATGTACCCATTCCTGTACCACCTGATCAACGATAATTATCAGACAAACCTGTCCTGAACTACGTTATACAAACAGCAAGCAGAACTTCATATAAACTATTTCTATCACACCTACCAGGAGACAGGTAATGAGTGCCTGAGTGCCTAAGAACATGCAATCATCAATTAAACATAAATACAATGGCACCACAATGTGTCTTGGAGACCACAATTTAGCTTACATGAAGAAAAAATAGTGGCTCAAATAGGTGACCAAAATAGAGTCAGAAAATATAATACCAGAAATGGTATCAAACTGCCTAATAAGAAATTCAAAAGAATGATACTTGGATACCTTCAGTGGATTCACAAAGTGATTGAGAAAGCTGCAGGTGAAAGTAAGGAGAATACAGAAAAAACCTTTAGAAAAAATCAGGAAAACATTACAAGAACACACTTGACAAATTAAAAATTAGAAACCATACAAAAATAGCAACTAGAAATAAAAAACAATTAAGATTTTAGAAATAGATAATAAAAGGATTGAGTTGATGGAAGGTCAAATTGGTTAGCTTGAAGACAAGTCTTTCAATGTTTATCTGTTAGAAGAACAATCAGATAAAAAGAACAAAAAAAGGAAGAAACCTGTGAGACACCATCAAAAGAAATAACTTATGGGTGATGAGAATTCCAGAACAAGAAGAGACACAAAGAACCACAGAGAAAATTGTCAAAGACTTGTTGGAGGAAAACTTGCCTAGCATCATGAAAGATGAGAAGAAAGGCATTCAAGAAGCTTGGGATAGACCCCAAGAGAAAATCGCCAAGACATACTATAATTAAACTCTTCAAAATCAAAGACAAGGAAAGAATCCTGAAAGCAGCTCAGGAAATAATAAAAAGTTTACTTTTAAAGGAAAAAAATAATAAGACGAAGCTCTGATTTCTCATTAAAAGCTATATCAGTAAGAAGACAATGGATTAGCATATGTAAAACTCTATTAAGAAAAAAATTGTCAACCAAGAAAAATATACCCAGCAAAACTGTCCCATATGATGATAAAATTAGAACATTTCCAGGTAAACAAAGGATTTGTAAACCAAACATACCAGTTTACAACAACAACAAAAATCTAAAAAAGAAATAGTGTACTTACAGCACTTGCTGTAATGATTGAATAATGAATGATTGAATAATGTAATAAATAAGAATAAACCTAACTGAACAAGAAAACCCACACTTGCAGATAATACCCACTTGACCTGGCTTCAATGGCTGGATGATCAGAACTCAACCTAGAGGAAGAAAGAAGAGGGTAAAAAGAGTAATCTGATACAATTTGATGAACATGACATATACCAATGGATGCAGTAGCTCAAAAGAGGAAACAAATCTTTACA